GAAAATTCGGAAAAGTCACACGCAGATGTTGGTTCCCTTTCTCTTAGACACCCAGGACTGTGGTTGCCAGCGCGTGTTGCCAGGGGAGCTGCAGGCTGTTTTCCGTAGTGGCACATTCTGCATCCCCACTGGCAACCCATAGAGGGCTCCAGTGAGTCCGCATTCTCTGTTGTCCTCTGTTGTCTGATACAGGCCTAGTAGGTCTGCAGTTGGGGGTCTCACTGGGATTCTAATCTGCATTTGCCTAGTGACTTGCTGTTGAACATCTTTTCATGTGCTTTTTTTTTTTTTTTAAAGATTTTATTTATTTATTTGAGAGAGAGAGAATGAGAGACAGAGAGCATGAGAGGGAAGAGGGCAGAGGGAGAAGCAGACCCCCTGCTGAGCAGGGAGCCCGATGCAGGACTCGATCCCGGGACTCCAGGATCATGACCTGAGCCGAAGGCAGTCGCTTAACCAACTGAGCCACCCAGGCGCCCTTCATGTGCTTTTTTATCACTCATAACTTTTTTTGGTGAATTATTCAAAACTTTTGCTCATATTTAAAAACAGCTTTGTTTATAATTTACATACCATAAAGTTCACTCTTTTAAAGTACACAGGTCAGTGGCTTTAATATATTTACAGAGCTGAGTAAATATCTCCATAATCTAAATAAAGAACATTTTCATGACCAAAAAGAAACTTGGTTCCCGTGGGCAGTCACTCTCTTTCACCCTCCCCTAGCCCTTAGCAACTACCTATTGACCTTCTATCTCTATCAGTTTGTCTATTCTAGACAATTCATATACACGGAATCACAATATTTGGTATTTTGTGACTCGTTTCTTTCAGTTGGCCTAATAATGTTTTTGAGGTTCACCCCTATTGAAACATTTATCAGTATCTTATTCCTTCCTGTTAGTAAATAATATGACATGATATGGCCATACCACATTTTGTTTATCTGTTATTCAGTTGGTAGACATTTGGGTTGTTTGTACTTCTGAGATTTTATAAGTAATGCTGCTGTGAATATTCACATACAGGTGTTTGCATGGGCATATGTTTTCATTTCTCTTGGGTAGTTGTTTAGTTGTGGAATTGCTGGGTCATATGGTAACCAGATGCTTAGCATTTTGAGGAATGGCCAAACTGTTTTCCAAAGCAGCTGTGCCATTTACGTTCCCACCAACATGGAATGAGGGTTCTAGTTTCTCCACAGCCTTGCCAACACTCATTACTGTCTCTTTTTGATTATAGCCATTCTAGTGATTGGGAACTGCTATCCCAATGTATTTTTTATTTGCATTTTTCTAATGACAAATGATGTTAAATGTCTTTTCATGTACTTACTGGCTTTTTGTATATCTTTGTTGGGGAAATCACTATTAAAATCCTTTGCCCAGGGGTGCCTGGGTGGCTCAGTTGGTTAAGCGACTGCCTTCGGCTCAGGTCATGATCCTGGAGTCCCGGGATCGAGTCCCGCATCGGGCTCCCTGCTGAGCAGGGAGTCTGCTTCTCCCTTTCCCGCTCCCCCCTCTTGTCCTCTTTCTCTCTCTCACTCTCTCTCTCAAATAAATAAATAAAATCTTTAAAAAAAAAAAATCCTTTGCCCACTTAAAAAATTATGTTGTCTTGTTGAATTGAAAGACTTTTTTATATAATCTGGATACATGTCTTTTAACATATAGATGATGTGTAAACATTTTCTCCAAGAATGTGACTTGTCTTTTTACTTTCTTAATGGTGCCTTTCGAAGCTCCAAAGTTTTGGATATTGATGAAGTCCAGTTTATCAATTTGTTTCTTTATAGATCATGCTTTTGGTGTCATATCTTAGAATTCTTTGCCTAAGATCACAGAAATCTTGTCCTATGTTCCCCTCTAAAGATGTTATGCTTTTAGCACTTATATTTAGCTCTCTGATCCCTTTTGTGTTAATGTTTGTGTATGGTGTGTAGGTAGGGCCTTAAGTCTCTCCTATTGCGTGTGGACCTTGAATCGTGCCCATATACCATTTTTAATGAAGACTGTGTTTTCTCCATTGAGTTGTCTTGGCACCTTTGTCAAAAGTCAGTTCACCGTAAGTGTCTGGGTTTATTTCTGGATTCTTCGTGCTGTTCCATTGATCTGTATGTTTATCCTATGCCAGGACCACACTGTCTTGATTATTGTAGATTTTTTTAAGTTTACTTTAAACTTTGAAATCTTTTTTCTTTTTTTCTTTTTTTTAAGATTTTATTTATTTATTCATGAGAGACAGGGAGAGAGAGGCAGAGGCAGAGGGAGAAGCAGGCTCTCCACAGAGCAGGGAGCCCGACGTGGGGCTCGACCCCAGGACCCTGAGATCATGACCCGAGCTGAAGGCAGATGCTTAACCCACTGAGCTACCCAGGTGCCCCTCGAATTCTTTTTCATACACTGTTTGGTTTTTAGTGCTTCTTTGGTTGTATTTTTCAGTCTTGTCTCCCCAGTTAGACTGAAAGCCCACTGAAGACCCAGCTCTGTCATTTCAGATCACCAGCCTCCACACAAGTTAGTTCAGGTTTTTGGATTTCATTTTTCTCATCTACAAAATAGAAATAAAATTTCTTACCCTTTCTATGTCATGAGGTTGTTAAAAGGATCAAATGAAGTAACAAGTGTGGAAACGCTCCTAAACTGTAGTTTTTATCATTGTGAGTGACCTTCATTAGCCCCACCTGTGGTGAGTAAATTTGTATACCTGCGTTCCTAAGATCCTTCACTTTAATCAGAGTGTAACTTCGGTTTATAGTGGACTTCGTAACTCTCGCAAGCCTGTGCTTGATCCTCAGTAAGTCTAGTAAGTTCATTCATGTTTTTTACTTTAATTGGAAGTATGAGTGTGGCTTTTTTTTTTTTTTTTCTCTGTTGTCTTCCTCTAGGTCGCTAGCCCGCCAGGAATTAAGTTGTCCCTCTTGCTTTTGACTATGGTCTTAGACTGCTCCTCTTCCCTAAACCTCCCTGTGTCCCAGCCAGACGGGGTGGAGGGTGTGGGCTGGGGAGCTCATGTACGGTAGGATGACACATCTTCCAAAAAGTGGTAGCAGCTGAGTGAAGCACAGCATCAAGATGTAAGATCCATGTGGTTAAAGTTTTAGTATGCCCTGAGAGCATGGAGTGGAGAGGAGGAATCCTAACTTCAGGTCTCCGTAGTGGACACTGTCAGGTTTCACTGTCCTCAACTCCCAAGAAAGCGACCCTCCCAAGAGGGCAAGATTGTTTTCCAAATGACAGTGTTATTGAAGAAGACTCTGTGCTTGATGGAAACTGTGTTTTCTCTCTAAATGACAGTCTGTAGGGCCTTATTCATCTTGCTGTTCCAGCATTAATAGTTCTGTATTCGGGGCTGGTGGACATGCTCCTCCAGCGGAAGTAAACTGTCTTTGCTGAACTATACAGTCTCACTCAGCAAACTGTTTCTGGTAACTAGGACTCAATTAGCCAGCATTACACATTGCTAATACAAATGATCTTTAGAAAAAAAGGCCATTAGTCAATAAAAATCCCCATAATACCTTCTGAATGAAAGATTAGATGTGTGTGTGTGTGTGTGTGTGTAGAGAGAGACTCACATTAACTGCATTCTGAGTTCCAGTGATTTACATTGGTATTCTGTCTGGAGTATGTGTGCGTAACTCGTATACTAGTGTATGTATTAAAGATGCTTAATTCAAGGTGTTTAATTTTTTAAGAATTAAGCCATTTTCTTGTGCAGATTAGAGAGAATACAGGGTGTTTCTCTGTAGAAGTGTTCAGGAAGTTGGCATCTTTTTTCTTCTCCACACTCCTCTGGGGCATAGAGTGGAGGAACAGGTTTCCAGAGGTGGCCCAGGCCTGTGATCTGTGGGCTTGTGCCCCCTCTTCTGGCTCACCAGTGTGTCCCAGGTGCGTCATGAACACATCCCCAGTCTGGTTTCTACAATTCTGCCAAATCGTGAAGCCTGTAACACTCCTCCCTCCCCCCACTTATCCAGCTGGGCCCCCATCGCTTCTAATAACGGAGAAAGTCCACGGCAACAAAGGTGGGCTTGCGCCTCCTCAGTGGTGGGCACCTCGTCTTTGCTGAGACCTGCCAGGGGTTTTGTTCTGTCATTGAGGCGACACAATACATATTTTATACTTTAATTTATGCATCTTATCAAGTGTCTTTTCTTAGCCAACTGTGTTTCTGTTTCAACTGTTCTCTAGTGTGGTTGCTATTCGATTGATATTCAGTTATTGTTAAGTAATGGGGTCTTTGTGTATACTTGGGATTTTAGTTTTGTTTATACAGTGCAAGTGTCTTCTTAGTTGGTTGGTAAATCTTCATCTGCCTTTATGAAGGCTGACATATCCTCTCCAGGAGGGAGTAAAAGTGAGCCATGTAACAGAATCCTAGAGTGAAATGTGTCTGCAGGCTTCATTTTCCTTTGGTCCAAGCCAATCTACAATAACTGGACAATTTGCCAAGTAAGTGTACAGGGCAATGGCATATGCAGTCAGCTCTCAATAATCCACCGTAAATAGCAGAAAATATGAATAATTTAATCCACTCAGCTGGTCGGGAGCCCCCAAGCAGGTAACCCCCACGTCCCCTAGAGGAGCCCAGCTCTTACCGACCACCTAGGTACCAGCATGACTCCCCCTTTTGCCTGCCCCCGGGTGTGGGGACCCAATTCCCCAACCGCCTGAGCCACTTAAAGAATGTCAGCTTGTCGCCATGGATGATCACAAGTCTGCTGACCTTAATGTGACAAATGTTATTTGACCCCACACAGAAATGGTTTAGAATGCACTTCCAGTGTTTTAGGTTTCATCCAGAAAGTATGGGTTCTAGCTCAGAGCCACATGTCCGTGCCCTTTTGCTCTCCTTTCTGGCAAGTCTGATGTTGTTCAGAAACAAGCAGGGAAATAATATCGCTGTCAGCCCGCTGTGGTGTAACTGTTGGGGGAAGCTTGAAGCCTGTGTGTAAAATGACGTGGGGTGTATTTAATATTTCCACTTTTTCCCTTTAGCCCAGATTGTGGGAAGTTGGCAGTAAACCAGTTTTATACATCGAGCTTGTGTTGACAGTGTAAAGATTGAGTACATCCTGAGTAACCGGAGATCTAGGTCCTCGGTCTTCCTGGGTGTTTTCTCGGACTTGGGCAAAAGCACAGAGGCTGCATTCTTTGCAAACGTCTTGAAGATGATTAGTAGGATTACTGCAGTATCCGGGAGAAGAAGGATTGGATGTACTCCGATAGACCGGAAAACCACACAGGTGTCAAATTAAGGTTAACGAGGGCGCCGAGGAGAGCCCTTCCATGCAGAGAAGAACACTCAGAAAGCACCAGGGCTGGGGCAGGTGCTTCACACGGAGAAGACTCGGGGGCCGTGCGGGATGCCCGCCTCTCTTGGACCTGCCACGCCATGTGGCCACTGCGCCAGCCCACTAGGGTGGGTTTCTTCTGTGCAGACACACTGGCTGAGCCACGGAAGGCGGTCATTCTTCTCTCCACGGTGGGGGCTGCTTGACTTTGCAGGTATTTTTTATGGTTTATTTTAAGAGGGATATTGACAGTTTAGAAACTCTGGAGCAGGATGTCTAAGGATGGGAAAAGTCTGGAATACATCTCAGGTGTGGGACAGTGAGAGGCAGTAGGAATGGTTGGTTGGAGAGAGGAAAGCTCACAAGTACCTGAGCGTGATCTACAAACATCTGGAAGGATGTTTATCTCCTGCTTGAGGGACTATTTATTTTATGTTGCTCAAGAGGGGAAAATTAGAATTAGTGGGTTGAGATTATGGGAAAGCAATTTGGCTTAAATCAGTATTTCTAGAAGTATGCTATACGCACCACCAGGGGTATGAGAGATTGTTTTTTCTTCATCTTTAAAAATCTTTATTTCAAAGTAGTTATAGATTTACAGAAAGGTTCCCCCCCAAAATAATATAGAGAATTCAGGTATGCCATCAGCTAAACAGCTTACCTGATGATAGTACAGTGAGCGCACTGTGAAATTAGCCCTGGTGAAGCGCTGCTAACTCTGCTAGACCTTCTCCTGTCTCACCTGTTTTCCCACTAACAGCCCTTCTCTGACCCAGACGGGATCCAGGGCCCACACTGCACGTAGTTCTTGTGCTTCTCGGTCTCTTCCAGTCTGCGTGTGATGCTAACCGGTGCTCATGACCTTGACACTTTGAGTGAATGGTAGTCAGTTACTCTGTAGAGTGTCAGTCAGTCTGGGTTGTCTGACATTTTCTGTGATTAGATGAAGGCCACGTGTTTGGCATGAAGACCACAGAGGTAATGTTACGCCTTCTCAGTGCATCAGATCAGGGCTGTGCGGTTCCAGTCATTACTGCTGGTGTTGACCTTGTCCCTCCATGACGGTCATTTCATCCACTGTAAAGCCACTATCTTTCTCTTTGTAATTAGTAAAAACCTTGGAGGAAATGCTTTGAGGCTGTGCCAATATCCTGTTTCTCCTTAAACTTTTGCCCAGTGATTTTAGCATCTACTGGTAAATCTTGTTTGAAATAACTTTCACTGTGGCATTTACTTAATGGTGGTTTTGTATTTTCCTCATTCCTTTACGCTTGTTAATTAGAATTGGACTGAAAAGGAGAACACTAACTCTTCTCCCCCAGTGATGTATTCATTTGTTGATGTCATGGTTAGACTCCCAGGTATTTACTTTATTCTCTGGATTACAATCCAGTGCTGTTGTTACTTATTTTATTGCCCAAGTTGTTCGGCTTTGGCTTTGGCCATTGGGAACTCCTTCAGGATGGCGTGCGTTTGTCTTTTTGACGTGTCCTCATCCTTTTTAAAGAAACTTATTTTGGGTGACACAAAATGTCTCAGGCTCATCTCATGCTTTCCCTGTTCCATGCCTGAACCAACGCCTCTCCATGAAGCCTAGATTCCTTCAACGGGAGAATGGTATTTAGAAAGCAGTATCTACGTGCTAGGTATAGTCTTGCTACCACCAGGATGCCACCATGACAGCAGACATAGCTAGAAAATGTACGTATGGGTGTATGCATACATCCTAGTGTGTAAGTATTCATATTTATGCTTCATATCATGTGCACATCCACACAGCTGTATGTTTTCTCTGCCACTGTCTGGATACCTACTGAAAACTGCATTCATGCTAATACTTTCAGTCCTGATCCAGCACCCCTGGGTTCTTTTTTTTTTTTTAAGGATTTATTTATTTGAGGTGGGAAGGAGGAGAGGGAGAGAGAGAATCTCAAGCAGACTCCACACCCAGCATGGAGTCCGATGTAGGGCTTGATCTCACGACCCTGAGATCACTACCTGAGCCAAAATCAGCAGTCAGCTGCTCAGCTGACTGAGCCACCAGGTGCCCCACCACTAGGTTCTTTAATAGCCTTCTCCCTTCCCTTATTTGTGACTTATCTCTTCAACAGAGAGAAACCTGGCTCTCCTTATTTACAATATGTTTACTTATTTATTCAATCCCAGTATACCAATAAAATAGTTTCGAAATTGCTAATCTGTGAGAAACAGATTAGCTAACTAGAGTCAGTATTTGCATACAGCTCTTTTTTGTCCTTAGACTTAAGAGTTTCTAGTGAAAATAGTATTTTCCAGAATTACTGAGGATCGTTCTGTATTTCAGTGTGACTATGTTATTTGTCTGTAAAATAGTTTCATTTGCTACCATTTGTGTTCCATTTGGGACTGATGTCCTGGTTGATTTAAATTTGGTACTTATTTTCGGGTATGTGAAGTGTTACTACGGTTCTAAGACTAGAGCTGTAGAATTTGCATCAAGTGTCTGCCCCCACTTTATACCTGTCGTCCCCCTTCTTTCGTACCTTTTCCCACCCACTCTCCATGGAAATCAGTGTCTTTAGTTCCTGGCACCTCCTCCCTGTATTTCCTTTGTACAGATGAGCAGATGGGTGCAGGTGTTCTCATCCCCCTTCTTGCATTGCACATCTTCTTTTGCACTTTGTCACTGTACGTCCTGGGAATCTCTGTGAGCCCATGCACAGAGGTCTTCCCCTATTTTTTACAGCTGCCTGGAGCCGCGTTGCTGAGATGGGCCGCGCTTCTCCAGCTACTCTCTAGCCTGTGCCTGTTCAGGTGGTTTCCAGTATCTTCCAGCTTAACCAGTGGTACAGGGAGTAGCCTCGTGCATTCTTTTTTCCCATGTCGTTGTAGGTATGCCTACCCGACAGGTTCCTGCAGGCATAATTTCTGGGTTAAAAAGTCTCTGTAGCTTTTGTTAGGTATCACCAACTTTCCTACAGGATATGCAGCCCAGGAGACACCTGTTTCCCTACAGCCTCGCCAGCAGAGTCCGCACCATGCCTCAGCATTTTGCCAGTCTGACAGATGACAAGTGCCCGGTGGGGTCTTCTCGTTTGCTCTTCTCTAAGTGTGAGTGAGCTTGAACTTGTAAACTTTTTTGTTAATTGTCTGTTCATGGCTTTTTCCCATTTTTCTTTTGTGTGTTTGGTCCTTTGTCCCTCATTTTCTAGGAGAGTTTCATATATTAAGGGGAGTGGCCCTTTTCCTGTGGTATGTGCTGCAAACATTTTCCTCCAGTTTGTCAGTTATCTTCTGTTTTGTCTAGGGCACCGTTTTGTTTTGTTTCATTTTGCCCAGCAGACATTTTTATTTTTATGTAGTCAAATTCATCAATTTTTGTTTCATTGCTTCTGGGTGTGGAGTCATAGTGAGAAAGTCTCCCTATACTAACGGCTCACCCATGTTTTCTTCTAGGAATTCTATAGTTTAATTTTCTTACATTTCTAGATCCTTAATACATTTGAGGTTTATTCTTATATATGATACAAAAGACACATCTGATTTCATCTTTTTCCAAATGGCTACCCAGTTGTCCCAGCACCATGTATTAAAAGGTCCCATCTTTATCCCAGTGACTTGTGATGGCAAATTTCCATATATATTCAGGCTTATTTCTGGACTTTTTATTCAGTCCCATTTGTCTATTTGTCTGTCAACAGCACCACCCTTTTTACATATAGAGTCTTTATAGTATGGTTTTATGTCCAGTAGTTTTAATTTTGTTTTTTTATTTTTATTGATAAAAATATTAGTCTAATGAATTTTTCTCTGATTACTGCTTTAAAGGCATCCCGTAGATGCTGATTTCCCCCCCTAGGGTTTTCTTGGCTATTCTTGCATGTTTGTTTTTCCACGTGACCTTTAGTATCAACTTGTGCAAGTCTACACTGTAGTCTATTGGCATTTTTACTGGCATTACATTGACTTTATAAGTTAACTTACGGGCAACTGTCATCTTTCTAATGTTAAGTCATCCTAACCAATAATAGATGCTTTTTCATTTGTTCATTTCTGCTTTCGTTGTCTTGCAAGAATGTTTTACATTATCCTTGTATATATGGGTTGAGTGCAATTACTATTAAACTTATTCCTAAACATTTACTCTTCCTTGTTGCAATGATCTAAAATGGGGTTTTCTCTAACACCTTATTATTTTATATTTCAAGGCAATTTTTGTATGTTAACTTTGTGTCCTACTATTCAATTGATTCTTTCATTGTTTGGGTTAGTTTTATCACTGATTCTCTGGGGGTTTCCAGATATATATTATGATATCTGCAAATAGTGATAGTTTTACTTCCTTACCCATTCTTATGCCTCTGCTTGATTTATCTTTTGTAATTATATAGGGTAATGTAATACGTCTAGGGTAGGGCAGTGGTAAGCAGAAATGGAGACTGGGCATCCTTGCCTTGATTTTAGTGGAAATGCCACTAGTCTTTTCCCATTAAATAAGATACTTGCATTAGGAATAAAGTATGTATATCTTATCATGTTAAGAATATATCTCTCAATTTCTGTTTTCTGTAATTTTTATAAATGGGTTTTAAATTTTGTCCAAGGGTTTTTCAGTATCTGGGTAGATGATCATATGTCTTTTCCTTAGGTTTATTAATATGAAGAATGATACTAGATTTCCTAATATTGAACCCAACTTTCATTTCTGGAAAAAATCCTACTTGGTCATGGTGTGTGGCTTCTTCCTGTGGTGTTAGATTCTGCTTGTTAATGTTTTATTTAATATTTGTGCATTGATATTCGTGAGGGATACTGGTCTGTGGTTTTCTTTCTTTGTTCTTCTTTATCTGGTGTATCAGTATTACACTTCTTCATAAAAGGACTTGGGGAGGGCGCCTGGGTGGCTCAGTCGTTAAGCGTCTGCCTTCGGCTCAGGTCATGGTCCCAGGGTCCTGGGATCAAGCCTCGCATCGGGCTCCCTGCTCCGCGCAGTAGCCTGCGTCTCCCTCTCCCACTCCCCCTGCTTCTGTTCCCTCTCTCGCTGTATCTCTCTCTGACAAATAAATAAATAAAATCTTTAAAAAAAAAAAAAAAAGGACTTGGGGACTTTTCCATCATCGTCAGTGCTCTTTAGTAGTTTATGTAGAGCATTGGAACTCTGGGTCTTGAGCATTTGGTAGAACCCCCTGTGAAGGTGTCTGCCCTGGTGCTCCTTGGGGAGGTGCCGCTTAGGAACCTTTGTCTTCTCTGACTTTCGTCTGGTTCGGCTCTCTCTAACTGCAGTGGAGTCAGTCTTGGTCGTGGCCATCTGAGCTCCTCGGGGAGTTGTCCATGCCAGCGACGTGTTCAAGTCTGTTTGCATGAGGTCTATAAAAGAGTCTCTTAGGATTTTTAAAATTTCTTGTTTCACTGGCCACTTCCCCTGTGTCATCTCTTATTTTCTGTAACTGTGCTTTCTCCCCTTTTTTCTTGATCAAGTAGCTGGTAGATTGTCTACTTTGTTAATTTCTACCCCCACCCCTGCAAAAAACTATAAGACTTAGAATTACGGGTTAGCTCTGATGTTTTTAATGGAAAACCTCCCCTCATGAGTCAGCATTTCCCTCCATTGTTTCTTCCTTGCATTTTCTTCTGGGTTACTAACAAGCTAAGACTTATTGATTGATTGATTTTATTTTTTCATTTTTATTGGTAAAAATATTAGCATAATGAATTTTTCTCTGATTACCACTTTAAATGAATTCCATGGATTCTGATACATAGCGTTTTCTGTGTAATTATTTTTTTAAAATTCTATACTTTTAGTTTGTATTTACTCTTTCACTAAAAGTCAATAATAGGTTTTTTAAATATCCAAGTGGAGATGACTTTGTTGTTGTTGTTGTTGTTGTTGTTAATAATGTATACTTCTATTGCATTGTGATCAGAAAGTATTGTTTGCAGTATTTCTACATTATGGAAATGGTTGATGTTTTCTTTGTGACCTAATATATGACCATTTGTAGGGAATGTGCGATAGATTCTTTTTTTTTTTTTTTTAAAGATTTTATTTATTTGAAAGCAAGGCAAGAGAGAGAGAAGGAGCTGGGGGAGGGGCAGAGGTAGAGGGAGAAGCAGGTTTCCCGCTGAGCAGGGAGCCCGACACGGGGCTTGATCCCAGGACCCTGGGATCATGACCTGAGCCGAAGGCAGACGCTTAACTGACTGAGCCAGCCAGGCGCCCCTGTGCTATAGATTCTTGAGAAAAATGTGTATTCTCTATTATCAGGGTACGGACTTCACTGTATATCTATGAGCTCTACCTTGGTTGTTGGTGTTGCTTAGATCTGTCTCTGTGCTTATTTATTGTGTACTTGCTCTGCCTTGTATGGAGATGGTGTATTAGATCTCCCATTTTTAGTACGTGCCTATGTGCATCTCCTTGCATATGCTGTCACCTTTGTTTCGTAAAGGTGGTGGTTATTTATTTATTTATTTTTAAAGATTTTATTTATTTGAGGCGGGGGGAGCACAGAGGGAGAAGCAGACTTCCCGTTGAGCAGGGAGCCCGACGTGGGGCTCCATCCCAGGACCCTGGGATCATGACCTGAGCCGAAGGCAGACGCTTAACCGACTGAGCCCCCCAGGCCCCCCAAGGTGGTGGTTGTATTACTTGGTGTGTAGATGTTCGTGAGCATTATGTCTTCGTTGCAGACTGTGGCTTTTAACATTAAATATATCCCCTTGTGTTTAACCCTTTGTGACGTGAGTTCTACGTGGTCTCCTTCTCTCTCTTTGTTTCATTTACCTTGGTCTGGCCATTTGCTTTCTGGCCTTTCTGACTGACTTTATTTTAGGTACGTCTCTTGTGTACAGGATACAGTTGGGTCTTGTGCTGTGAACTCAATTAAAAACCTTTTTCTCTAAATACATAAATTAAGTCCATTAATATTTTTTGACATGACTGATTTATTTGCTTGTAACTATCATAATATTTTATAATATGCATATTTTGTTGTATTTGCCATTCCTTTAGGAGATCTATATTCTTTGCTTTTATATTTTTGATTTTGGATTTAGATAGATTTGTATTTTCTAGTCATTACCTGTGTATTTAAACCTATTTTTATGTCCTTAGTAACCCGTTTTGTTAAACTCTTTATTGTCTGATTTGTTTTTTTCCCTCGTATTCTTTAATGCACACCTGTTTCTTACACAGTAATGACCTATACATTAATCAGAGTTTTTGCTCTTTACCTCTTCCTTCATCTCACATTTAGTTGAATAATTTCTGTTTTGTCACTGTATGTAATATTTGCACATCAGTCTTCCACCTTAATTGCACCTTTATTTTGGTCTAATATGTACATCTAAATATTTTTAAATGTGTCTCATAAATCCTTTTGCTGAAATTCTCCCACTCATCACTAGGCAGATAAAGTTTACCCTCACATAGAATCCTCAAGAAGGGCTGACTGGGTGTAGTATTCTCCAAATTCATGGATGTTAAAAACTGATTTTCTGTAGTCTTCGTAATTGAAGGATGGCTTGCTGGATTTAAAATTCTTGGTTCATACTTGCATTGAATTTATAATGTTGCTCCATTGTTGCCTTGCTTGTGTGTTGGTTTTGAAAGTCTGCTGTTAGTCTGCTTCCTTTGCGTATTCATTGATTGGTGCCCCGGGCCTTGAGGACTTTGTCCTTACCTTTGAAATCCCATAGTTTCATTAGGCTGCATCTCAGAGTTGATCCTTCTGGGTTATTTTTCCTGGGTACCCAGTGAGTCCTTTCTTTTGAAGATTTGGGCCTTTGTCTATTCTGGAAATTTTCTTGCAGAGTTAAATGTTAGCTTTGCTATACTGTTTTGTTTTCCTCTTTCAGGAAGTCTGATTTATGGACATCACTCCTTTGTCTTCTCTCCCCGCCACTTGCTTTCCTCCCCTTTCCCGTCTTTCTCAGTGTCGCTGTCCTCCTCTTGGTTGTGGTCCTGTCTGTCCTCAGTGCCCTTTGTTAGTTTTCATTTGAATTGATTCTCCTTGGGTGCTCTGTAATTGATTCCTCATTTCTGAGGTAATTTTGTTTTCCTTCCATAACTTCCCTGAGTCTGCTCACCTCTCCCCTGCTTTCTCTGTTTTTGTCCTTTTCTGTTTTTAATTCTTTTACGTTTCTAATTCAGGGTGGTATATTTAATTATGTTTTTGGGAGTGTAAATTCCAATTTTCTTTTGACTCGTGGTAGTTTTCAGGAGGACATTTTTATGGTATTGAGTGTTTAAAAGATTGCGAGTCTAGCAGCAGCCTCTTCGGTTGGTTTGGCCAAGTGCAGGGGCCGCCGAGGCAGCTGTTGGCTGGCTGCTCGGCTTTGGTGAGGACAGGCCAGGGTGAATCTAATGATATTCCTCTTTACTCCTAGGACCCTACACTTTTCCTCTTTCTCTTTTAGCTTTACCACTCAGTTGCCGAAGGGTGCTTCTCCCCTCCTCTTTTGTCTGTTTTCTTCCCCGGAATGCCTCTGTAAATGGTGTCTGTCCCCTTATGCTGCATGTGTGGGCCTTGAAGTCCCTTCCCTGACACGGGCAGTCAGGCATGTCATAGCTTCTTCATGTTCGTATGGACTTTCTCACCCTTCTGCTGTGTTCCTCTCTGTCTTGTGGTCTTTCCTTCTGCCCTGGCTCACCGGAGCTCATGACGGCCGGTGTGAGCTGGGGGCACGAGGGGCCTACACCAGGACCTGGTGGCTTTTCTCTTACCCTTTTCTTCGTATTTCACATTATCTGGCTTCATGTTATGCCCGGGGTGTGGTTTGTTGGAGAATTTGTAGTTTCATTTGGGGAACCATAAGGAAGTCAGTGACTGCGTAGCCAGCCTTGTCTTCAGCCATCCAGAGGTCAAGCACTCACCCAAGAAATTCTTCTCAGTGGGCTGAGGGGCTCAGAGCTCAGCATTTTCCAGTTTAATCCTAAAATTTCCATGTAATCTTTAAGGTATATTAGAGAACAGTAAAACTAGCACTCTAAACCCATGATATAAGGCTTCTATATTGAATAAATCCATTAAGGGAAAAAAAGTCAATTTAGAAAATACAAATAAGTAATAGTACGGATAAGAAACAAATTTGGTAGAAACCATGTTAATGGTTTGCAAGAGACCAGAGAGGCGGAGGGAGCCACAGTGTGTAAGGGCCATGTTTACTGCCCTGGCGGGAGCTGTCCAGCAGCAGGGCCCACAGGCTGGCCCAGGGAGCAAGGGATGGACTTCACGACCCTTTGCAAAGGTCTTCCGGCTTCTCAACTTTGTGTCACTGAAAACATTGTTACCCTTCAAAATGCACAAAGTCTTGGGATTTTGAGAGTGAATAATTTTTTTTTTCCTTTAGCATTAGAGGATTGCTTTTGTAATTTATCTTTTTTAGTTCGTGGGAAAGCAAAAACCAAATGCTAACTTTCCCAGAGGTTATCAGTTATGGAGTATATGTGCAACCTGAAAATAAGTGAAATTAATGTACTCTTCAGTGTCAGTAAGACAAAGAATTATTCACATGTGAATTATTTACATTGTATTAAGAAAGTATGGAACTCGAAACTAGGCAAAATGTGTTGAAGCATGTAACTAGTTTCCTGAACAAAATTGATAGATTTTGTATATTTTCAATATCAGTAAACCAGTCACAATAGTTTATTATAAGAGTTTTGACCAAAATTGTTTCAAATGTCTATTTTAAATCCATAAAGCCAAGTAAACCCCAAACAGTGCTAGAAATAATGAGGTTAAATGTAATTGATGGAACGCGTTCCTGAAAGATGATGTTTAAAGTCACCCCTCAGATGTCCTATAAACTCCCTCAGCTCTACAGGGGTCTGTGTTTGCAGCTTAAGTTTGCAGAAAGCAAATCCAATTAGTGTCCTGTGCTCCCGGAGCCATCTCCAGTGAAGTTTCGTGTCTTTCAGAAACGGGCATGCAAGAGAGTAGAAGCGGCCGGGCCGGAATGGGGCTGCGGCCCCGCGAAGCTCAGCGCCCTGGTGTCCTGGAGTGGCGGGGGGCTGCCACGTGTGGGGGTAGGTTCCCGTTCCCACCAAACCAGCTGTGATCCGTTTAAATATTTTAATAAAAAGTGTAAATAATGACTGTCCTGATGCATCTGCGGCTGTGATTTGTTAAATAGATTCCTCAGAACGGTGGAAGGAGCTCAGCCCAGCCTTGCCCGAGATGTATTGCGGGGGAGTCTGTAAGTGCATTCACCTTCTTGCTGTGACATGAAAGACAGACTTGCTCTTAAATATTAGATCCATAAAACAAAGTTAATAAAAACAGCAATTACATTTCTAAGGAATGAGGGATGTAAATAAAAAGATGCAGATTGAGTTAAGCTTTTCTTGGCATTGTGCTGGGGTGCAAACTGATTTGTTTCCAGGTTCAGATTGGAAATAGAAATGAAAATACACTTAAAATTTTTTCTTAACACAGGGTTCAGGGGAGGGAACAGGCCACTGGATACAGTTAATAGAGATCATGTGAGGACATCTTGAAGAGAAGCCCTGACCTCAGTTAATTATCCAAATAGGAATGGATGTTGTTTTCTCCTTTCCCTGGTTAAGCTTTCTTTGGTGTTCCCATAAACTTCACAGAAACCACAGATTTCAGAAGGAGAAATGCAGTGTTCACAACATTAATTCAAAGTAAAGGAGGTCTAAGATGACCAGAGTCAGATTCTCAGTTTCCTGAGAATATTGGGCAGAATATCATAAAGAATACACCGGCATAATAATACCTTTGTTATTAATTTTGCACTTACTCTAAGAACAAGTTAATGTCTTTGATAACCTCTGTAATTCTTGTTTTTTTATTTTAAATTTAGAATCTTAATATTGTAGTAAAATAGAATTACGCTTAATTGCCACATAGAAACCAGGAGAGAGAGAGAGTGTGTGTGTGTGTGTGTGTGTGTGTGTGTGTGTGTTTAGAAACCAGGTGTGTGTGTATCTCTGTATATGTGAGTATTTCTTGGGTTGCCCTCTAAAGAGGTTAGAGAAACGTATTGCTCTGCTTTTGATCAGCAAAAGATTGAGTTGATCCATCCTAAGTTTTTGAATAGGCATATCGCCGGCTACTGTGTTTTACAATGAGAGGCAATGATTTTGTTTTAAATGAAGACCTAATGCTGTGTCAGTTATTGCCCACATGAACCTGATTCTCTGAAGTCACTGGAGAAATACAAAACAAAGCTTAGTGTGCGACTCATTCCACGAAGGTGTGCTTTTCGTACTCTTCAGGAGAATGTCTGCATGTTACGCGGCATTCCATGGTGTAATCCTGAACAATGGTGAAGTCAAAGATCTATCAGTTGGAACTTACTGTATTTTAGGTTGATTCCTATAAGAGCCACATATGCCCTAGAATACAAATACATAATGTTTACCTTGAGAAATGTGGCCTCATTATGACTAAAGTGTGTTAGTGTGGTGACTAACTGGTAACCTTCCTTGTTCTCATCCCATTTCCATGGACTGTGTCTTTCAAATCCCCCCGTCTGTTGGGCAAACACTTGGAACGTAATATGGATTCTTTATGCTCTGAGACGTTGAGTTCTGTCATGAATGGCTTAAAGAAGAAAATTTGGCTCAAGCAACTGATTGGATCATTTTAGCTAATATTCTGTTTGAACAACAGTTTCTATTTGATTAGGATTTTTCCTTCCTTTGTAACTCCCCAAGCTTGCCTCTGTTCTGTTTCATAGGAAATGAATCTGTGAGCAGAGAACCTATATTGATATGTAAATATATCATTTTTTCCTTAGTGCTCAATATTCTTTTCATCTAAATTTCAGAAACCGACTTTAAAAAATCAGTTTCCCTTTATCTGTAGTTATTCTCAATAAAATTTCACCCAGGCTTGGGTGATTTAATATTTACACCCACTGTTACAGAAGTCTTATGTAAATAAAGATTGAAATGTGAATTTGAAAAGTCACACCTTTGATATTTGAACAGACTATAGGTGCATATATCTTCTTTTTCTAATAATATGGCTAGTTTGTCTCCTAAGCTTTTAAAATAATAAGACACTATTTTTATATTCTGGAGCATCAGAAGGTTCAGTGCTAAATAAAAAGCAAATAGTATTTTTAGAAATGCGAGATCCCAGGGAGAAGTGCTTAACAGTAAATCACCGATGGGCAGCAATTCCAAATTTCAGAAGACTTTATTAGACACACAGCTCCATTCACAAATGTGCACCTGTGTGCATTAGTGTGCCCCGTCCTGTACCATTGTTCCTAGAGCAGACCCAGGGTGGTGACCTGGGCTCAAAGACAAAGGTTGCATTGAGGGGTCTGTGGAGTCCTAACAGGAGACTTGCCTATGAGTCTCAGCTTCTTTGGTGCTTCGCTCACCATAACCTCCCTTGGTGCTCTCCCCCAGCGCCTCCCTTGGTGCTCCCCCCCATCGCCTCCCTTGGTGCTCCTCCCGCATCGCCTCCCTTGGTGCTCCCCCATCGCCTCCCTTAGTGCTCCCCCATCGCCTCCCTTGGTGCTCCTCCCGCATCGCCTCCCTTGGTGCTCTCCCCCATCGCCTCCCTTGGTGCTCCCCCATCGCCTCCCTTGGTGCTCCCCCATCGCCTCCCTTGGTGCTCCTCCCGCATCGCCTCCCTTGGTGCTCTCCCCCATCGCCTCCCTTGGTGCTCCCCCATCGCCTCCCTTAGTGCTCCCCCATCGCCTCCCTTGGTGCTCCTCCCGCATCGCCTCCCTTGGTGCTCTCCCCCATCGCCTCCCTTGGTGCTCCCCCATCGCCTCCCTTGGTGCTCCCCCATCGCCTCCCTTGGTGCTCCCCCATCGCCTCCCTTGGTGCTCCCCCAGCGCCTCCCTTGGTGCTCCCCCAGCGCCTCCCTTAGTGCTCCCCCCATCGCCTCCCTTGCACCTAGTTTTCTGGTGTGCTTCTGATCCGGCAGGTCCTGCTCTGAATCCTCACACAGCTGTCAGCTCAGTGCCTGAGCATCTGCTGTCTCTCCTGAGCTTTTCCTCATTTTTAACATGGATCGTTTCTCATGCATGCAGGGTCATGGCTTCTCAAGTATGCGGGGACGTTTTTAGTTGACCTCCCCGCCTCGTTTTCCAGGTTGGCACATGGCCCCCTCGCCGTGTGGTCTGTGCTGGCTGCCTTTGCAGTGACCACGGCTCCGACCCGCCATGAGGTTCCTGCCGGGGCGTGCGCGGCTCCGTAGAGGTGCCTCCTCTTAGCCCTGCCTCGTCCTGCTCAGGTTACTGACAACTGCAGGGAGACGGTCCCCGTCCTTGCGGTGGGACGTGGTGCTCCATCCTCCAGGGTGTCCGCGCTGCCCCTCTCTGCTGCCCCATCCGGGGCTGCGAGCCTAGAAGCGGTGCTGATGGCCGATGGCCGCCGTCCGCGGGCCCCCTTTCCCTCACAGGTGGTTGCTCAGCTGGGCCCGGCCTCACCAGCCGCTTCCTTCCTCGGGTCAGCTCAGCTGGCCTGGCATAGGGTGCGCCGCGGCCGCAGGGAGGGTGGAGACCGCGCCGTCCTTTGCAGATTCTGACCCACTAAATGAAACCTGACAGGGCTTCACAAGCTCTCGAAGCAACTGAATGAAGCTCCGTGGTGGTGGTGGTGGGGGGGGGTTGCAGTATAAGGCAGAAAACTCTAGGAAGGACAGATTGCCCTCGTTTGCTGAGGCAGAGATGCTGGGTTCCCGCCACCATGTTTTCCGAGTGGTGTCTGGTCTCTGACACCAAAGGTGCCCAGTGCAGGAGCCCTTCAGGAGCAGCGCCGCCCTCAGATTTTATTGGGTCAGCATGATGGTCAGCTGCCTGTTCTGTCTCAGCTCTGTTCCCCACCGTTGCTCTGTCTTGTGGAGACTCCTTCTCCTTGGCTTCTGGTTTCTGACCCTGGACGCTGGAGTGGGGCGGGGGGTGGGCTGGGAGCCAGAGCATCTCTCCCTCTGTCCCCTCCCTCCAAGGTGCCAGCTTCTACAGAGTTGTCCCCCGTGGTCCCAGCTCCTGCGGGCAGCATGGGCTCCCGGGCTCTGGGCCACGCTGCTGCCTCCCTTGGTCCTCCCCACCGGGGGAGACTGTGGCTGTCTGGGGGGGTGGCAGTATCTGGTTGCCTTGCCCTCCCCCACGTGGCTTTTCAGCTCTTCCATTGTTAGTGTGCTGGAAGCCACATTAAATTCCATGTGAGGTACCTAGATTCCTCTCTGACTAGACCCTTTTGGCCTTAATTACCTAATGAGTGGACAAGTCCTCCTGGGACAAAAAAGAAAGAGATTGCTGTTTTAAACCTGGGCCTCTGGATCTTTGTTGCTCACCCTCAGGTCTCTGGGTGGAGTCCAGCAAGCTCGGCGTTCAGGAGTGTGAGCAGAACCTGCCCCAGCTCGGAGTCACCTGGGCGGTGTGGTGAGCCTGGGTGTTAGATTGAAAAAGAGTCAGGCCCTTTCATATTGCTCACTTGTGTGTTGTTCTGTTATCTGGGGTTAACTGGGTTTTATTACCCAGACTGGTAGTGAATTGCCATATAAAGGCCAATGTGCAAAGCATGATGTTTTGGTTTTATGGACCCCCCTCCCCCACATACACACACCAACAAGTTAATTTTGGATAGCAGCCCGTTCATTAGCGTTGAGGGCAAATACTAAGGGAGAAGTCTCAATAAGCCTCTATACTACTCACTTTTTTTTTTTTTTTAGATTTTATTTATTTACTTGAGAGAGAGAGAATGAGAGAGACAGAGAGAGCATGAGAGGGGGGAGGGTCAGAGGGAGAAGCAGACTCCCTGCCGAGCAGGGAGCCCGATGTGGGCTCGATCCTGGGAGTCCAGGATCATGACCTGAGCCGAAGGCAGTCGCCCAACCAACTGAGCCACCCAGGCGACCTATGCTACTCACTTTTTGACATTGAAACACACTGCCTGACCGCGGTGAGGAGGGGCGGGAGCAGAAATCGAGGGCAGGGCATCCAGGATTTGGTCCATGCCTGCTGGCTGGTGGCCCCGCAGGGACAGCAGGGGCAGCCCACATGTGATTATTCTGATTCTAAAGGGATACACTTGTTTTCTTTGCACTTTTTATCTCCAAATGGGGGACCTTTAAAGTATTTGTTTTATTTTATTTACCTATCTGACTTACTGGTAATTGCTTCCTGCATCTGTAGCATCTATAAACAAAGCTCTGGAGCAGGAACCGCCCAG